GGGATGCAGACTCAGGTCTCCTGAGTCCTAGCCCATCGCTCTATCCACTGTGCCACACTGCATATCCAAAATGTTTATATAAACAGACAGATAACAAGGCACCCCCCATCCCAGAGATCCAATGCAAGAACCAAATTACAATGTTTAAATTCAGTTTTGCTTTTTAAAACAATGTTAAACTAAGCTCAGTATTCATCACAGTATGAAAACAATGTAGAGATATTAGTACACTGCTACTGCCTCACACTGCCACACATATTGGAAATCATAAGACTACAGCATGTTCATCAGGTTGTCTCATTGTCCTACATAGCACCCTGCATGTATTTAGAAAAAAAAGGTTAATTTATGAAACCTAAGTGATATAATCACAAACAGGGAATGTTCCTTGAGATCATCTCATTCAGTCTCCTGCCTCAGTTTACATAGTGATTCTATACATACATACTGGAAGTAGGATCTCATTAGTTAGTAGTATTCCTCATTTAATATGTGCACAATCAGACTGTATACGTAGGTTTTATTTGGGCAGAATTGTTGCCCATAGTTTATCACCCAGAGAAGAAATCTACCTTTCCCTTCCCTCTCCTCCTCTTTTTCAGCGGAGTTGGGTAAATTTCAAATGATTTCCCTAGAATTTTAGGCAGAGATTGTTCTCAGTTCCAAACTTTAATACAGTAAACTGTGGTCAGTCTAATCATAATCAGCTGAAATAAACCTACGTTCAGACTGTGGGTTAAGAAAGTGGTTTGTAAAGATCTGCCACAATGAACGATCTAACTTCATTTCACCTGAAGTGAGACGCAAACACATGTGTCCTTTGAATCATAGGATAATAGAGTTGGAAGGGGCCATCCAGCCATTGACTCCCACCCTCTGATCAGTGCAGAGGGTTGGAGAGCCATCTGACAGGTGGCTGTCAGATCATGCTAGAGAAAAAGGTGCTATAAGTATATGAGGCCAAGGCTTATGCATGGTACAGTATATATGTATTGTTATGTTTGAACCAGACCATAATGCACCACCATTTACAGGGCAGTCCTACTGAGGGGGTCAGAGTTTTCTCTGACATTTGCTGAACTGCCTGGTACACTTGAAAAAGATTTATAGGCCAAGCTCTTTCTTTTCTAGCTTAAGGGCAAACTACACATTATATACAGCTGCCTGTGGATGGAAGGGCTGTGCTGCTCTCCTTTAACCACTGGATGAGAGTACCTCTTGGATCTAGTCATTTTGGGACTGCATGAAAGAGCTGGATTCTCAAAGGTGGCATACAACTCCTTCCCCTTCTTCAGAAGCAGGTTGTCATAACCACAGTGACTGCCACCTTCTCCTTCATTCATCCAGTGGTAGGGGAGGAAGCACTATTCCTGCTCTACCTCCATGCAGATGCTTTCATACATGTGCAGGGCTACTACAGTAGCTGAAGTTTTCCACCTCAAATACTGGGAAAGTTTTAACGTCCCCTGGATAAGGGTTAAGGATCCTTATCCCTATGCATAAATCTTCTGCTTCAAAGGTTTAACAGTGGCATCATATTTTTTTTAAAAAAAAACTGGAGGCACAAAAGAATTGTGGAATTGTGGTCATCATCATGGGCTGTCCAGTCAATTCTGACTTATAGCAAGCTTTTTCAGAAGTAGTTTATCATTTCCTTCTTCTGGGGTGCCCTGGGACTATGCAGCTTACCAAGGCCACACTGGCCGGCTCTACTCAGAGAAGGCACAGTGGGGAATAGAACCCCCAATCTCTGGCTCTCATACCTAACCCACTGAGCTATCCAGCCAGCTTGTAGAATTGTACACCCTTAAAGATCCATATATTTCTTCCATGATTATTTTTACTCTTTGTTTTTTGCATTAACAATTACTCATGTAAACCTTAAAAAATACAATATTACTTCTGGATTATATTAATTGGAAATTATCATATTTGTAGAAGAAATCCCAAATACAGGTTAATTAGAAATGATGTATCTTAACTCTCAAGGGTATTCTATTAAAAACCTTCCCATGACCAATATCATTTCCATAAACTTTATCATCCTACATCTCTATAACAGAAGTGTTCCTTAACTTTTTCAGTGATTTTTAATTACAAAAATCTTCTTCACAGCAAGAGTTTAATTTATTGAATAAAATTGGCCAAGGCACGTCTCTTTTATCCTGGAGCTGTATCATAATATTCATATCTTTTATATTTTTGACAATTTTTGTGCCTCAAACCTGAAGCACTATGAAAGCAGCTTTTTCTATACTATCTGTCTTGCAGTTTTTTTAGTCACACATTTTAAAAATTGTCCTTTTTAAAATTTTGCTTTTAGGGTCTTGTTGGAATTCAGACACAGCTGAATGGCTCACTTCACATTTCTTGGTTTAATGTTTATTACTGGCTTTAAGCAGAGTTGTATTCTTTTTTTCTCCCTATTCAGAAAATCACTTGAGGGTGAACATGAATTCAGCTGGGGTTGAACACATGATTAAAGTTACCTAACTCAATTATGTATCCTTAAGCATGCCATTTTAGTCACTCTTCTAAAGGATGGGTGTATATATATATATATTTTTCAGAATAGCACTGCCTGTAAAAGACTCACTAATGGCAGGAGCATCATTATTGACACTCCTATTTAAAATGGGCTTGTTTATTTGACAAGCTGAGACAGGAGGACTGTTCATTTTGTAGCCTGACAAATGTCCCTGATAGCAGCCCAGCCTCTCAGGTCATTTACTTGCCACTTTCAAGTTCAGCTGAATAGTTATTTTCAGTTTAATTTAAGACTTGGCCTTTATGTTGGATAAGTAGCATGCTAATCATCAACATCAAGGAGGCACAGTGGGGAATCTAACTCCCAACCTCTGGCCTAATAAATGTCATAGAACAGCCATAACTAAATGATTACCACAGTGCCATTGAATATCTAATTAAAGGTAATTCTTAAAGTATCCTGTCCTGGGTATGATGTTATGAATCACAAACTCTTGACTTTTATAAAAGATCTTATTTTACTTTTTGCTGCCGACTAGTTCCAGTATGTATACACATATAACCCAGTCTAAGCCAAATAGAAGTTTTAATGTAAGGAAGTGTGCTTCTCAGATAATAAAGGTGTATTTTTAAACTAGGATTCATCAGACAGCATCACATGAGGCCATACGGGGAGTGTCCTGGAACCGTATGGTAGAATATAAGCGTTGCATGCCAAGGCAAAGTCCCAAGCAACCCTTTCTCCAAAACCTGGGAGAAAGCCACTGCCAGTCATGGTAAACAGTACTCAGCTAAATAGACCAGTGGCTTGTTTTGGTATAAGGCAATTTCCTGTGTATCATTTGAATTAAATTTTAATTTAAAGACCGGTGCTGTTTTTTGCTTTGACTTCTAAAATCAGAATCAAGAGAAACCTGAGAATAATGAGGCTTCAGCATTTCACTTGGACCTTTCACTTTTTCCCATAATTTCCTCAATTTTTGTCAATAATCTACCCTCTCCTTTTTTCTCTGTTCCTTTGTCCAAGTTTCTAACTGAACTATGTTCAACCATGAAATTCTCTCCTCTCCCAATATTTCTCTCATTCGCTCTTTACTGCACATCTTCCTTACTGAAACGTTTATTCTAATAAGTCCCTATTCCGTTAATACAGTATCTTGTTTTTTATTTCTGGGGGGGAAATTAACTCTATTATCTCAGTCAAAGAAGAGATTGGTTGGCTCAGTATTCCCCTATAACTTTAGAAAGGAATTAACACAGTGTCATTTCATGGATGGTGCTGCATTCATCCCTGGAACCAGGAGGAGCTATTGTCCCTCTCCTCCTCATGTGCCCTCAAATGCTGCCTGTAGGGCTGGGGGATCTTCCAGTTCTTGTTTTGGGGAAAGCACAGATGTTCCAAAGGGAAAAGGAAGAAAGTCCCATTCTCTTAGCAGTCATAGTCATGACTGTGCTGGTCACTTTTTAAAAAAGTAACATAACTGTATAGAAGTAGACAATTTTATTTTCCAGTAGGATGGTACTGGGAATTGAACATTCTAAAGGAAAATATATGCCTCTGTAGACAGGCATATACTTATACACTGCCTTGTATAACTGTTACAGACTAACAACCAAATATATATAGTATTTGGTTGTTAGTCTATAACAGTTATACAAGGCAGTGTACTATATAAGTATATATGCCTGTCTATGAGACATTTCCCTTAAGGAAGGAATGGGATATCTTTTTGTGCTTCTTTTTCTTTACTCCTCTTGCCAAAACAATCTTTTTCTTAACAGATAGAATTTTGTTCATTGGTAGGTTGGACAAATATATGTATGCCATTAGTTGCTGTGTACTTATGCAATTTTTAAAATGTAAACATAAATATTCTTTTAATTGCAAAATTTATAATTAAATTAATATTGTTAAATATGACCAGAATTCTACTGATGTTCATGTAACGTTTGTATAGCATGTTACAGCTATTCTCGATTAATTGATAAAGTGTCGGGGTGCATCTCAGTCATGTGCCTGGTCACATGCTCGATTGCACAACTGAGATGCACCCTGACATTGACAAGATTCCAGCCAATATGTATGTCTTAGTTTATGTGTAGCAGCAAGTTAATAGACAGATTGAAATACAGTGTGCAGGTAAAGTACTGATTGTAATAATGACAGTGCTTACTTTCAGTAAGATACATAAATAAGATACTTTGAGACAAATAGAATCAAAAGTTAATGGTAGCTCGAAATGCCAAGTTTTCCATTCTGCTCTTGCTGCTGCTATCTCCTGAGAAAATCCCAGTGTGATTCTGTGCATGTCTAACCAGAAGTGGGTTGAACTAAAATTGATAGGACTCACTCTCAGGTAAACAAGCATAGGATCACAGCCTTAGTTGCTTGTCCTACAGTTTCCCTAAGCTTTCCATCTGAAACCTTCCTTTTCTGTCTTCTCCTTTTTACTTTCCTTTTTTAAAAAAAACAAAAACAAAAACTCCATTATATATCCATCACCGGCTGACAGTGTCTTTACATCCAAAATGCAAAGCAGACAGATGGGCGCTTCAGGACAGAACATAACTAAGAGCACCAGCATCAGTGGGGAGATGTACACAATAGAGAAGAATGATGGCAGCCAATCTGACACAGCAGTGGGCACTGTGGGTGCAGCTGGCAAAAAGCGTCGCTCCAGCATTGGTGCAAAGATGGTAGCAATCGTGGGTCTTTCACGGAAAAGCAGAAGTACCTCACAGCTCTCCCAAACTGGTAGGAACAAGATTTCAGGTTTTTTTCCCCCCACCTGTTTTTCATGAGATGTAAATTGCATGGCTGATAGTTTTATAGCTGAAAAGACTAAGGATGTTTAAATTTATTTATCTTTCAGAGTTATTTAGCAAATCACTTTATTTTAACTGGAACTTCCTTCAGATTGAACTGCTGTGGCTTTTCTTTCTGTGCTCAGTGGGTCACATGGATGCAGTAATCTCTTATTTTCTCAGGAACCAATGTGATTTGCTGTTTTACATTTTAGGTGTTGTTGTTCATAGTTTGTGAAAGACATCTGAAATGCATCTGGTACAATTAATTTCTTTACTTCCCTCTCCCTTCAGTGTTCTGCATGTTATTGTTGTGGGGCACAGTCAATAACAATTTTGTTTCTTGCTATAATTTTTAATCCTTTTCAGCTTCAAAAGAACTTTTAGTCATTACAACAAGTCACCATCACAGATTACACACTAAAGATAACAATACTATTCAACATTTATCTAGTGCCACTTCAGTGTAAGGTTGTGTGTATCTAAGTCTCAGCTTTTAATGTTTCTGATCTTGAAAGAGCAGATTTTCTGCACAAATACTAGACCATCCACTTTCGTGGAGTGCAGACAGTCTGTTGAGAAGTCTCAACCTCTGTGACAGTTCTTGCTTTTCCCCTTCTTTTCTTTTCTTCCCCTTTCTTTTTTGGTAGCATATTCTTATTTCTTGCACAAAATGCAACAGTGCAAAACGGGTGGCTATCTCTTAAGCATATACACAACAAGCACAGAATGACAGGCTGATTTCTCAGAAAAGTACAAATAGCCTTCTGTAATAGTGGTTCCCAAACTTAGGTAACCCAGGTGTTCTTGTACTGTAGTTCCCAGGAGCCTTCACACCAGCTATGTTGGCGAGGGTTTCGGGAACTTGCAATCCATGAACACTTGGGTTGTCCAACATTGGGAACCACTGCTCTAGAACAGGGGTCTCCAAAGTATGGCCTGCGGGCCACATCTCGCCTGTCTTGCTTTTTTATCCAGCCCGTGTGTGCATACATGTGAGTGGGTGGGCAGGCGGGAGTGTATGTGCATGCGTACATGTGCACGCGCATTCCTTCAGCCCTTAAAAATATGGAAAATATATTATGTGGCCCTCCCTGTGAAAATTTTGGAGATCCCTGCTCTAGAAGATCCACTACATTTGCTAATTTGTGCAAAAGGCAATTTATCAAATTTTCCAACAATGCACATTTTTTTCAAATAATCATGATATAAACATATAATATATATTTCCAATAGAGTTTTCACTGAACATATATTTCTGTACTCCACAGAGGTCAATGTGCATTCCAGAACTAGTAGGTTTATGGGGGAAGTGCATGTTTGCATAGTGCCGTGTACAAAGAGGGTCTCCTGTTTCTTTGCACAGTACTTCTACTTCTCGTAATCTGAAAGGTATTCTGTAAAAACAAGGAACATGACTTGTAAACATGCAGCACCTGTAGTTCGTGTCCATGTCTAGTTTGTATCATGTTATACAAGATCTTGTAATACTTCCATGTTTATACACAATTTCTATGTCACTGGTAACTTCATTAATGTGTTGCAGGTTTTAAAACATTTTACAATTTAATTTTTTCTGTAGAACATTTATATGAATGGTTATGATGGAGTACAGAGCAGAGTTAGCCAATGTAGGTATGGCAGCATCTCTTGGAAGGATAACTATGTTTTCAGGTTATTGTGTAGATCAGGGGTCTCCAAACTACGGCCCATGTGCCACATCCCTTTTTATCTGGCCTGGACATAGGAAGAGGAGGGAAGAGGGACCCGAGCAATCCCCAACTCCTGCTGTCTTTCCAAAGATAGCAGGGGAGAGGGATCGCTTCTGTTAGGCTTTGCTCCACTTCCTATCTCCACCTGGACATAGAAGAGGAGCGAAGACTAACAGAAGTGTAAAATATGTGATGTGGCCCTCATACTGAAAAGCTTGGAGACCCCTGGTGTAGATGAATAGTTCCCAGTATGATCTTCCTGATCCCCAACCCCTGCTGTCTTTCCAAAGATAGCAGGGGAGAGGGATCGCTTCTGTTAGGCTTTGCTCCACTTCCTATCTCCACCTGGACATAGAAGAGGAGCGAAGACTAACAGAAGTGTAAAATATGTGATGTGGCCCTCATACTGAAAAGCTTGGAGACCCCTGGTGTAGATGAATAGTTCCCAGTATGATCTTCCTGCCATCAAGTCATCCACCTCCATGTGTGTATGTGTGTGTGTGTGTCTTTCTTTCTTCCAACTGTCCAATGTTAGAGTTATTGTCAGTTATTTCTGAGATCCAGTGTGATGCATGCATTGATGGAACTGCTTCCATGAGCAAAACCAAGAGACAGACAATCCCTCTCCGCATTGCAATCCCCCATATACCACCCAAAACCTACTGAGAAACTCCAAAATGTTTTTTAAACAGGATAAGAGGCTGACAGAGAAAGTGCACAAGCTGTCATTCATCAATACGATATTGGATCTAGGATATTGTTACATTAATCTTTCAGCTTTCTGCTATGACCTTGAAGACACATGATCAAGAGTTTTCTAGGTGGTCTCCCGTCCAGGTCCTAACTGGGCCTAGAGGTGCTGAGGATTGGCATGATTGTTACAGTGTATGTTTTCTTATGTTTCGTAATATCCTGTAACATTACTATCAGTGCCATTGGTACCTCATTAACATACTGAAGCTTTTAAAACATAGTTCAAATATGTGCATTTAGAAATTTAACTTCTGCTCTACAACATTTACTACTATGATTTAGGTCTATGCAGGAAAAAATAACTTATTTTTATACTCTGTTATGTAAAATACAGTAAACTGAAATGCAGTTATTGTTTTCAACTACAGCTTCCCAATGTTTTTAAATAATGCCTCTGGATAAAATATAATTGAACACAATATTATAAAACATAACAAAGCTAAATGTTATTCCTATTCCCTAATTACACTTTAAGGGTGTTTATTGTCTGAAGGCTTTTTAGTTTATATACTGTAGGTAATACTGAGGCGTACATACTTAAACCTTTTTCTTAGTGGTGTTGATGTCTTATATATTCACTTTTCATTTTCTTAATTGATACTTTTCTCTTAATATGACGTGGGAACTTAAAATGGTGCAAATTTGCAGTTCTACCTCTAATACTTTATATATTTCCCATTTATTGTTCTACAAGGCATTAAAGCATGTGAATTGCAGACGTATGGCAAGTTGCTATGAGTTTCTTGGACTGAGGGTGGCTAGTTGAAAAGTATTAAAACAAATAAATGGAGACCAAGAAATCATGAAAGTCTTTAAAATGCAGAAAATTAAAATACTTTGGTAGCACAATGAAAAATTAAGTCAACGAAACCAGCCATTTAAAATGGCAAGAGACCACTGAGGTACTTAATGGTGAAAAAGTTGAGCACTTCCACCTTCCTTACCCTGTACCTGACACTTTTGAAACCCCATAAAGATTGCTGCCCTGATAACAGTACAGTACTGGGAAAGACTGGCATGAACAATTTTAAGTCCAAGAAGTTCTTTTAGTGTGCTGAAGTGAAGTAGCTTGATGTTTTTGTTAATAGTAGTGTTTGCACTTGAGCAATAACATCTTTCTAGTTTGTGTATTAAGACAGTGTATATTAAGAGAGTGTTTGCTTTCCTGATGTCAGCTGTATTTCTCCCCATCCCATATTTGTCCTGGATGGTGGCACTGAAAAATCATATAAATATTGTTGCCTCTGATGAGTTCTACATCATTCAAAAGATTTATTAGGCCTGGATGTGTTTATTCCTTGCATGGTGCCTCAAAATTCCTTTAGTCGAGCTAAAACAGCTGGCTCCAACAAAGGAGCAGTTTAATTGTATTTAATGTGCATTGATCCTTCATCCCTATCCAGATTTTGCTAAAAAAAAGAGAGTAAAACCAACACATCAAAACCCCAAACATTCTAAAATCCAACAACAAAGTATTAGAATTAAAATAACATCTTGACACAGTGTAACTGAGTTAAATTCGTATGCACTTCCGAAAAGGAGTTCAAAATTGCAGTGAAGAGTTCTGTAATTTTAAGGAAGTCACAATACTTGTTGAAAGGGTTTGTTTCTTAGGTGTCTTAGTGAAGTCTGTACTGAATTAGAGTCATTGGGTAAGGCTGGTGAAAACAGCTCCTGGACTTCCAGGCTCAGTCATAAATCAAGTAGAGATCTAAGGATGAGAATATAAGGAGTGATAGGAGATCAAATGCCATCTTTTATAATATAATTTGGATGAGAGCAATGCATTATTTTTTTATGGGTGCATTGCTTCCATCCAAATTATTAAAGCCAAAGGCTAATCATTGTCTTGTTCTGGTTTCAGCTGTATAATTCGCATGTACTGTAATCTTTTTCAGTCGCCAGTCACTGAATAGAGTACTGTACAGAGGCAGCTGAGACATACATCTTTCTGCCTTGTACATGAATGATACAGAGTTCTGTACCTCAAGGGAATCATGTTAAAGGCACGATTAGAAACCTTCATGGCTTTTGTACAGGCAATTGTTGAATGTATAGATATGGCCTTACAGCAGGTAGAACAGAATAATCTGCAAGGGGAGGAGAACTTGTGCAACATCTTTAATATGAGGCAATAAAAGTATGTCTGGTCTGTGAAATGTATGTATAGTCTAAATACTTCTCTATTACCTTCAACTTAAAAAATTTATTTTCAAAAAGTCATTTGAAAAGAGCCAGTCTTCATATTCATTTCTTCCTAAGTTTAGTATTCTAAACACTGAACATTTGTGTCATTCATTCCTCTGCTTCCACGCATGCCTTTCAATTCTGTGTGAAGAGAGTGAACAGATATATACTGTACATAGTATTCAGCCCCCTGCTCATTATTTGGAGTCTGTATGCGCATGTTGATTCTGTTGTTGGCTTGCAAAGGAAGATGTTAGTATTTTTTTTTAAAAAAATGTTTTTGAGTTATTTTTAAAAA